ATTGAAAATAATTATGCATACAATGGATTCAGGACGAGGTGCTTTCCTATTAGTCTTACTACCAATATGACCAAGTTGCGAAAACAAGGTCAAACAATTTCTTTAATGACTTTTAACTTAAAGCTTCCAGTGTAGGTGTGTCTCTTCATTTGTTCAGCCATTTTGGAGTTTCAAAATAACACATTAACCGATTACTGTGTACAATGCTTGCAAGTCGCACGAAATAAAAACAAAAGAGGGTTCGACGGAGCTGAAAAACCAGTTGATTCCTACTTTATTATTTTATGTATTTTTTACGCATAAAACGTGTACCTGCTTTATATATGCCACCCCCCTACTTTTTGGGCTTGTAAATTTTTGAAAAAAAGGGTGGCTTATATATGGGGAAATACAGTATCTAAGTTTCCAAAAATTTAGGCCAAAGGAGCAAAGCTTCAGATACGATTTTCCATGTTTGGGAAGACTCAATCTGACGAGCATTCGGGATTTACAGTGCTGGGAGCCAACCAAGGTGGGCGTAAAGGCAGGTGCACACATGTTATAAAGGATTATTTGCCTGCGAATTGACTATACAGACAAGGCCAAGTCCGGCCAGTAGAAAACACTGTTCATCTGTAGCACATTTTAGATGAGGTTGGAATAGTAGCATATAGAATGTACTTGACGAAGGATATTATGTCGGATTATTACGCTAACTGCTAATTGGTTTGATGATAAACTGGTATGAGAAATTAAGATGGATATAATGCATCGAAGAGGTATGACCTTAAGCTATCCCTCAGACGGCGGATTTGCTGGAAATACTAAATATAAGCAAGAATTTAGGCCTTTGGAACAGCGTATTATATCGACTTAACTACATTTAGGAATTAAAAGTAGTAGCATTTTTACTTGTATCGTGAACGTAGCAGCTTATTTGTTGCCTTATATTAAGTTTTTTTATCATCTCGAGGTTATCGAATAGATAAATCACTGAGGACAAGAATGGATCTTCAAATGTTTCACTCAACTTAATTTATCTAATAAATTCTTTCATTTTATTATTTAATGTAGTTTTGCTCTATTGTCTATCTTGATGCCTTTGCTTAACTTTAAAATCATATTCACACAGTCATGATCACTAATCTGCTCTGTTGCATTTCAATTTGTAATCGGTCTATAAAAAACTAAAAGGAATAGATTTCTGAGGCCGTTTTCTTTTAGCGCCAAATATCTAAGCTCTAGCTCCTAAATTTTATGGCTCGGGTTATCGCCTATTATTTTAAATGTCCTAACTTTATTTATTGTTTCCCTATTACTCCTTTATTGGATATGACTTGTTAATAGAACCAATCGTATCACTGCCTCTAATGGGTTCAGGTATAGGGTATCATTACTAACATAAATCCCAGTTATCTGGTTTAGGTTATCGGTTTATGATAATTTTTGTTTTACCATATGCTATATGCAACGCTATTCCTAAAAGCGTCTTACTCACTGGTTATTCCACTGGTTAGGGCCTTGATGCATTATTTAAATGAAACCACTATTTAAATATTACTATGTATAGCTAACTTCATGCTTTATCTTCAACGTTCTGATAAATTTTTATTTCAATATTTTTCTTGTTTCAGGACATTCTGCAAACTGTGCGAGAGTTCGCTCGTCTTAATGGAATTAAGCCTTCAAAATAGTCGCTCATCGTTCTTAAGTATCGTTTTTATAGGGCTTCCCTTTCATTTTACGCCTTTTATCTATTTATCGTTTGAAATTAAAAATTTTTATTTTTCACTGGCTTTTATATGGTCGATTTCCTTTCTAATTTGAATAACACTGAAGACTTATTATACACTTGAAATTGTCTCTTCTATAACTTCTATTCCCAATCTTTCGCAGGAATGCCTTTTAGTATTATTATGATCAATGCTTACTATCTTTTTTCTGTTTCTTTTCATTTTTATTACATTACTTAGGATCACCTTTTCATTCCTCTAATGTTAACAAAAATTATAATTTTCTTTGCATGAAGTGGGGCTTCGACTCATCACGGATCAATTAGGCATGAACAAAATGCACAAATGTTTCACTACTTTTGCTTATTATCTTATTACTACTATTTTTAAGCCCTCTTTTTTCCTTCCAAATGTAGTATCCAAGTTCTATAT